ATGGGGTCTTTCTGTTGCTCAGGCTGGTTTCTAACTCCTGCCATATCTGAGTCTGGTTCTGACAGTTCATTTCTGTCATTTCAAATCGTGTCTCTGACCTTGTAATTTTTTCATTGAAAGCTATACATGACGTCCTGAGTGAAAAGACCTGGGGGGGGGGAGCATCCTGTTGCCTGTTGTGCTTTGATTAGGAGTCAGTCTTCTAGTGAGCCCTGGGCCGGGGACTTCACAGTGCTTCTCAGGGCTGTCACCCCCTTGGGCGGGGCAGAACGCCCAGGGCAGCTGGAGTTGGGTGCTTTACCTTCCCCCAGGTTGGTTAGGCTCTGATGAAACCTCAATTGGTTCAGCTCTGAGAAAACAGTTTCTTTTGAGGGTAGATCTGGTTAAGAACAGACTCTCTGGAATATTCAAAACGGTTACTTGCTCTTCCCTTGCAGGAAGTATGTGGGGATTCTTCTCTGATCTCCACTGCCAGAGCTTTGCGAGCTTTGCAGTGCCCCTGGAGGCAGACTTACGAAAAGGTCAGCGCCCCCCTGGGCTGAGCCCATTGACTTTTTTTTTTTTTGAGACAGAGTCTCACTCTGTAGCCTGGGCTAGAGTGCCATGGCGTCAGCCTCACTCACAGCAACCTCCAACTCCTGGGCTCAAGCGATCCTCCTGCCTCAGCCTCCCATTGAGATTTTTAACTCTGAGACTGATCCACTCTGATCCTCCAGTAATCTGTCAATTACAGCTCGGAGGTTCCTCCGCCCGGGGCTCCCACAGAGAGTTCAGCTGCCTTGCGGATAAGGTTTCTGCTCAGGTGAGTTGGGATTGCCTGTATCCACCGGTCTACCTCTCCAAGTTTGGGGGCAGTTATTTGCCCTGTCACCTCACTTCTCTGAGAGATTAAGAAGAGTTGTCTATTTTTCATTTGTTCAGCTTTTGTATTTATTTATTTTGAGACAGAGTCTCGCTTTGTTGCTCAAGCTAGAGTGAGTGCCTGGGCGTCTGCCTTGCTCACAGCAACCTCCAACTCTTGGGCTCAAGCGATCCTCCTGCCTCAGCCTCCCGAGTAGCTGGGACTACAGGCATGCACCACCATGCCCAGCTAATTTTTTCTATATGTATTAGTTGGCCAATTAATTTCTTTATATTTATAGTAGAGACGGGGGTCTCGTGAAGGCCCTGACTTCACCACGATATAACTCATCCACATAATAAAAAATAAAAATATAGGCATGAGCCACTGTGCCCGGCCTGTTCAGTTTTTTACTTGTTTTTACGATGGAGTGATGAGTTCCAGGCTCCTTACATGCCAAACAAGAAACTGGAAGTCTTTGACCCACGGAGTTTTTAGGACTATGTTTTTTAATCTTCCAAATAAATGAGATTATTTTGTTTACTATTTTTATTATAATTTTGCTACACTATGGTCAGAGAATGTTGCTTTCTATGTTATCAATTTTTTGGAACTTGTTGATATTTTGTCTGTGACTTGGTATGTGGCCAACTTTTTTCAATGTTGACCTAAAAGACACCTAAAAAAATTGGTGTCAGGTGCAGTGTGGTCTTTTTACCTATTAGATATAAGAGTTTTAATTGTATGGTTCATATCGCAAGCTCTGTGGTCCATAACCTGATCGTTGCTCCTCATCCTCACCTCTAGATGATCCGAGAGCAGTGACGGTGATAATATTAAAATGAAAACAGTCTTTTCCCATTTGAGTCACTGAGAGATAGCTCCCCTTATGTTACCAGAAATGTTACGCTATAACACACAAAGTTCTCACAAGGAAGTTCAACACAAAACACTTATGCTTTTATGATCAGTTTACTGTCATTAGTTTCTTCATCTACTACCTTCAGTTCATGCATGTGTTTGATTTTCTCTTTCCTGCCTGTTGACATTTCAGTCAGATTTCACAACGTTTTGCTTATCTTCAGGTATTAAAAAAGTCCAGTTTGGTTCAGTTTAAAATTTTAGTCTCACAGCCAACTCAAACATTTCTCTCTCCTACTCACCCAGCCCAGGATTAACCTGTGGCTTGGTGATTGCACTGGACAAGAAGGACTGATCTTTTCTTTACTCCCCTTCTTGATCTTACACATCTTTCTTCCCTCTAATGCTCCGGGTCTCCCTTCCTTCTCAGGTGGGCTGTGACGCTTGAGGAGGGGTCAAGCACCTCTTCGGAGGCTCCCCCAGGGGACACTGTGTTGCACAGTGTGCTGACACAGCCCACGTGTCCTCTGGCTGAATTCTTGGACTCTCTTGAGCAGGGTTCCATTATATTGGCTTAAGCCTGGTGACCTCCTACAGTGCCCTCTTGGCTTACAGGAAAGTCATGCATCCTTGACAACCCAGATTCTAGAAGGGCAAACAGTCCCTGCTACTCTCTCTCCTTGTTGTAACATTTGTGGCTTCAAATTCTAGGGGTTCTGTCAAGCGTTCCCAAGCGTTCCCTAGCCACGCTCTGTTCTTGGGACTCTTGGTGGGCTCAGGAGTTTTCATGGTTGTGACAACTGGCTGGGGAGTGAGTTGTCAGGCTTCTCCTCTCGCAGGCCCCTAACCTGCACGAGTAGTTCTTTTGGGCCTCTTCTCCCCAGTTGGCTTGAGAAAAACCATGCCATTCTCCCTCTAAGCTACAGACTTAACTTCTGATTGTTTAGGCTTCATGGCTTGGTGAGAGCCAGGAATAAAGGACTAGTTTGGCCACCTTTGAGTGGGACCTTTGAGTGGGATACTTAAGGCCTATTTTCCCCAGCTTTGGGGATCAGTGAGACACTCTAAATCTAAAGGAAAACACCCATTCAACATCCCATTTTTCTTTCATTTTCTTTGTCTTATTATAACTTCTCCAATTGTCTCATGGGATTGCAACATGCTTGGCCTTGGTATATCATGGTGTTCTAATGAATTTATTAACTTTATTTAGAGATGAAGAAAGTATTGTCACATGGCAAAGGCCCAAATGCCCATATTGGCCTGCTGTGACAGGATACTGACATTTAACCTCTGTAAGTGTTATTTGTTTTTTTAAACCAGGGAACTATCATTTGACCCAAATAATTCAAATTTTGGGAAGCATCACATGAGATGATCAAAATGAAATTTGTTTATATAGTGTAAGGTTAAAGATAACTGTTACTATTTTTAATAATTATATTTGGCATTATGATTTTAAATTATGTAAGTTGAGAATTTTTGAAAAGTTTTATTTATTTATTTATTTTTGAGCCAGAGTCTCAGATCTCACAACATTTTGCTTCATTTTGTTTCACAGAGTCTCACTTCGTTGCCTGGGCTAGAGTGCTGTGGCATCAGCATAGCTCACAGCAACCTCAAACTCCTGGGCTCAAGGGACATTCCTGCCACCAAGTAGCTGGGACTACAGGCATGAGCCACCATGCCCGGCTAATTTTTTCTATATATTTTTAGTTGTCCAGCTAATTTCTTTCTATTTTTAGTAGAGATAGGATCTTGCTCTTGGTCAGGCTGGTCTCAAACTCCTGACCTCAAGGGATCCTCCTCCTGCCTCAGCCTCCCAGAGGATTACAGGTGTGAGGCATGACGGCTAGCCTGTTTTGTTTTGTTTTAGAGAGAGGGTTTCTCTCTATTGCTCAGGCTGGAATGCAGTGGCGAGATCATAGCTCATTATAACTTCTAACTCCTGGGCTCAAGTGATCCTCCTACCTCAGTCTCTGGAGCAGTTGGGATTACAGGCATGTGTCAGCATGTTGGGCTAATTTTAAAATATTTTGTGTAGAGGCAGGATCTGGCTATGTTGCTCAGGCTGATCTGGAACTCCTGACCTCAGGCAATTCTCCTGTCTCTGCCTCCCAAAGAGCTGGGATTACAGACGTGAGTTACTGTGCCCAGCTGAGAAATTTTATGAATATCTCAAAATAAGGTTTATTCTTCCAGGAAATCGTGGACAAAAAATTATCCTATAACAAAATGAAAACTTCAAAATGTCATCTGTGCCAATCCCAGTTTTAGGAAGAGCATTTATTAGGATTTTGATTTTTCTTGAATGTTCTCTATTCTGAAAGTAAAGTAACCTTGTATCCTGAAATGAAAGGAGAAATGATAAGTCTCTATCCTTGTTTTTATTCTAAAAAATGATTTCTGTTAAGTATTTCTTAATAGAACAACAGAATACAACCACACACATATTGGCTAGGATGGATTAGCCTGTGATTTGGCTTAACAGGATCTCGGGATATATGGAAAAATTCCCTGCCACCGCTCTTGCTGCCAGGCTTGTTGCCAGTGTTGCACAGACCATGGCTGGCCGCTTCATGCCGCGAATTATGGCATATTACTGGAATTGAGAGCTTTGTTCCTATCAAAAGTAAAAAATGCTCCTGGCGTGAGGAAGGCTTGAGCCTGTCCCCCGTAGTATCAATGGGCTCTCCGGAAAGGAGAGTAGGGGCCAGAAGAGGAGGGTTCCGATCCTGCCTGCCCGTGTGACAGGCAAGTCACTTGCCCTCTTCGGACCCAGTTTCCTCACCTGTAAATCCAGGGACTTGGCCTGGATACTGTTCCTAAAGCCAAGATGCTGTGTGCTCCCCTAGCGACGGCGCGCGCGTGCGCCCCCTAGCGACGGCGCTCGTTCGCTCACTCGAGGCTCCGCAGGCGGGCGCGCCCTGCCCGGGGACCAGGGGCCGTGTGGCTTTCGGGGACGGGAAGTAGTGGGTAGTCATCCCGACCGCCCGTGCTCTGTGCCGCCCCGCGCCCAGGGAGCTGCGTCCCGATTTCCGGGCGAGGCTCTGCCCTCCCGCCGGATCTGCCGGGCCGCGGGAAGAACCGCCGCGGGCGCGCAGGCCGCAGGGCCCCGCCTGCAGCCGCTCACAGGCCGGCGGCCGCGCGGGTCCCGCGCCGACTCGCGCCCGTCGCCCGCGCTGCGGGGCGGGACCCGGCGGGCCTGGGGGCGGAGCCGCGTCCGGGGCGGGGCCGCGGGAGCCGGTTCTGGCGAGCGGAGCAGGGGCCTCCCCGCAGCCCTGCGCGCCCGCCGGCCGACATGCGCCCGCACCTGCTGCTGCTGCTCGCGCTGTGCGGCGCGGGCTCCGCGGCCGGGGCGCGCAGCTACAGCCTGCGGGGCCGCTGGACCGTCCGCAGCGGCAACGGCTCGCTGGAGCTGCCCGGGCAGGTCCCCGGCTGCGTGCACAGCGCCCTGCTCCAGCAGGGCCTGATCCAGGTACCGTGCGCCGGGGCCGGCTGTGCCCGTCGGTTTGGCACGGCCTTCCCGTTTGCGTCCTGCGCCCTGTCGGGGAAGTGCCCAGGCGGCGGCGTGCGGGCGACGGAGGCTGGCCCGCCGCGCGGGGACGCCCGCCGCCTGGAGGCGGAAGTCCCGGTGGGCGGACTCCGCCGCGGGCCGCCCGCCTGTGCGGCAGCCGGAGCTGCGCGAGCGGCCGAGGGCGCGTGGCCACGGCAGGCTCAGGTGTGGGATCGCGGTGCCAGCTGTCTGGACGCCGCAGGACGGTAGCTTTTTGCTACGCAAGGGTTAACTCCATGGAGTAATGACCCGGTTTTTCATTTTCGCTTTTAAGCGAGTCAGAGTTGGGATTGATGCAGCACATAGGTTGAGGAGATACCTACGAGGGCACGTTGGGCTTGTCAGGGCGAGGGAAAGTGCTAGGTAACTCTTAAGGCTGACTGGGATGTGAAGAAAGGTGCCGTTTTCTCTCAGAATGTGGAATGCGACTCCGTCCTCCCCTGCGTTTGCAGCTCCATTAGCTGCACGTGGTTTTCTCGTGTCTTCTCTTTGCTTGGGACGAGATGTGCTCGTATTCGAGGTACTCGTGTGTCGACCCAATTCTCACAACCACTCTATAGAGGAGATTTTCTAATCTGGATTTTATGGAAGATACGGAGTTCTGCAGCCTAGAGAAGTTAGAGAACGTGACCAGGATCACACAGTAACTGAGTTGATGGGAATAGAATCCCAGCCCAGGTGGGCCTGGTTCCACAGTCTGGACTCTGTATTATGCTGTGCTTACCTTGGTTTTTTGAAAAATCTATGTTTTGAAGCACTGTGGCTGACTTGCAAGAGTATCATTCTACATTTACTTCAGTGACAGGCTGGACAGCTAGGGTCCTGCAACATTTCTGGTCTGGTACTCAGGTTTTTCCCCCCAACATATATATCAAAAAGGAAGTAAGTGCTGTAAATGACGCTGACCACTGCCCAACATATGTATATTTTAAAGTAAATCATTTTCAAAGTTAAATAATTTTTTTTTAAGAGACAGGGTCTCTCTCTGTCACCCAGGCTGGAATACTAAGCAGATTAGAGGAAGAGAGTGAAGACTGGTTGGAAAGGATTGCAATTTAAAAAAATCAGTGGTTAAGCATAGCCATTTTGATAAGTTGACTTTTAAGCAGAGACCTTTATTGACAAGGTCACTCTTAAGGAGAAGTGCATTCCCAGCAAAGAGGGAAAAAATGAGAGTTGAGAGGGAGCCCTGTGGTGCTCGTGGCAAGTCCAGGAGTGGACTTAGACTCCTGGAGTCCAGGAGTGGACTTAGCCCACTCCTCTTAGCCCGGAGTGGTAAGCCGCCAGGAAGGAGGGGGGTTCAGAGCAGCGTCTATGGCAGGCCTTGACTGGCTTGTGAGCCACAAGAAACGCTTTGGCAAGTTAAAACACTTCTACTCAGCAGAGTACCGTGGCCCATGCCTGTAATCCTAGCTCTCTGGAGGCCGAGGCAGGTGGATTGCTCAAGGTCAGGAGTTTGAAGCCAGCCTGAGAAAGAGGGAGACCCTGTCTCTACTATAAATAGAAAGAAATTAATTGGTCAACTAATATATATAGAAAAACTTAGCCAGGCATGGTGCCTGTAGTCCCAGCTACTCTGGAGGCTGAGGCAAGAGGATCGCTTGAGCCCAGGAGATTGAGGTTGCTGTGAGCTAGTAGCGAGTGACGTCCGGCACTCACTCTAGCCTGGGCAACAAAGCGAGACTCTGTCTCAAAAAAAAAAAAAAAAACCAAAGGACTTTTACTCTACATGTGAAGGGAAGTTTTGGGGGCTGAGGGCTTAGAGCGGCATGGTTAGGCTTGCTTATCCAGCGTCACTGACTGCTGGGCAGAGACGCCAGTGGGGGGGAGTGGAAGCATGGAGGCCAGCGGGGGACCGCGAAGGCCTGTGGGCAAGAGACGATGGCTGGCTTGGACCGGGGTGGTAGCAGTGAAATGCTGAGACTGGTTGTAAGAACACATCTTGAGTGTAGCAGCAACAAGATTTGTTCTGTTGGATCCGTTTATGGATTGGGTGTGAGGAGTGAGAGAAAGAAGACTCAAGGAAACGTCAGTTTTGATCTGAGGAGTTAGTAAAGTGGAATTTATGTTTACTGAGAGGCTGTGTGGCCAGCCTTGGCTGTTTCACAGGTGGCTGTCTGGGTTTCCTATGCAGAATCTAAACGTTAGGGCCGGGCACGGTGGCCCACACCTGTGATTCTAGCACTCTGCAAGGTCGAGGCCAGAGGATCGCTTGAGGTCAGGAGCGAGACCCCGTCTCTACTAAAAAAAATAAAAAGAAATTAGCTGGACAACTAAAAATATATGGAAAAAATTAGCCGGGCATGGTGGCGCAAGCCAGCTACTCGGAAGGCTGAGGCAGGAGGATCTCCTGAGCCCAGGAATGTGAGGTTGCTGTGAGCGAGGCTGATGCCACGGCGCTCTAGCCCAGGCAACAGAGTGAGACTGTCTCAAAAAGAAAGAAAGAAAAAAATTCTGAACTTTAGGTTGCTTGGAGGGCCTTTGGCCTCCCTGTTAAGGGTTATTCATTCAGCCTACTGTTATGCCACACACTACAAAAGGTACTAGGAATAAAAAGACATGAGTAAGACTTGAATTCCTATTTTGTGGGAAGTCACCTTTAGTGAGGCAGAAAACCTAGTTATTTATTACCATAGGATATGTTAAGTGCATAGGTAAAGATATTCGTTAGGTATGTTTTCAGCTTTCCTATGCAATTTCCCACTGGTGTAAGTCTTGAAAACCTCTTTTTTTTTTTTTTTTTTAAAAAGATAGTCTCAGTGTACCAAAATTAGAAAGTATAGGTACATAAGAAGAAAGGTTGGAAACCTGGCTTTTGTAGATAACCAGTATTAACATAAAAGAAAATATAGTATATCCATTCAGAATTTTTCTCTGCATACTCATTTATAAATATTTAAATATGAATTTGAACAACTTTTTGTATTTAGCATTTTGTGATGCTCTTACGTGCAGTAAACATATTTCTACGAACCATATTTAATGGCTCTTTTAAAATTCCATTATACATAATTACCATCACTTGTAATTAATCATTTATTATTAGATAGTTAGATTTGCCCATATTTTTTTCTATTTTTGAGTGAATATCCTTTTAACAAGATTTTAGTATACATCCTTATTTTATTATTATTTTTTTTTTTTGAGACACAGTCTCACTCTGTTGCCTGGGCTAGAGTGCCATAGCGTAAGCCTCGCTCACAGCAACCTCAAACTCCTGGGCTCAAGTGATCCTCCTGCCTCAGCCTCCCAAGTAGCTGGGACTACAGGCATGCGCCACAATGCCTGGCTAATTTTTTTTCTATATATTTTTAGTTGGCCAATTAATTTCTTTCTATTTTTAGTAGAGACAGGGTCTCGCTCTTGCTCAGGCTGGTCTTTAACTCCTGAGTGCAAATGATCTGCCCCCCTTGGCCTCCCAGAGTGCTAGGATTCAGGTGTGAGCCACCGTGCCCGGCCTGTTTTAGTCTTTTAATATGCACTTTAAGCTGCTCTCTGTAAGAGTTGTACCAGTTGTATGTACACTGCCATCATTATTTTATCAGATGCTTATTTTAGGTGCTAGATTTGAATATTATTTAAAAACAGAAACAATTTACTTTATAGTGAGGTTAAATACCTTTTATATGTTTATTTTATGTAGGTTGGGATTTATTATTCGTCTTGTTTGTCTATTTTTCCATTGGCTATTCATCTTTAATATAGATTTGTAAGACCTCTTGTTATATATTTCCTTCCTTCCTTCCTTCCTTCCTTCCTTTCTTCCTTCCTTCCTTCTTCCTCCTCTTCCCTCTCCCTCCCCTCCTCCCTCCCTCCTCCTCCCTCTCTTCCTCCCACCCACAGCCCCACCGGACAGAAAAGCAGAGACACCGAGGATGCAGTCACACTAGAGGAGGTTTATTTTCTGGCTAGCCAGGGTCCAAGCCCCAGAGCACCAACGCAGTGGCCACTCTCGCAGGCAAGGACCCCGACCGGAACAACGGCATGCCTTTTATCCCCATGGTGCACAAGCTGCCCACGAGCTGACTAGGCATGGGTCATGCGTTGACCTTTAAAATGATTGGTTGCCCACTATTGCCTTTGAAATAATTGGTGGGTTGGTTGCCCTCTATTGCCTGATGGGCCAGTCCCCTGTGCTTCAATGACCTCATCCCGTAATTCCCCATCCAGCGGTGTAGCAAGCAAGCAATGACTAGAAGCAAAGGTTTGCGGTTAGCTCATTGCCCCACCCAAGTAAATTCCCGACAATTGGAAGCATTCCTCTGCCCTTCCTCTGTCCTACAAATTCCTCTGCCCTTCCTCTGCCCTACACTTTCTTTCTTCCTTCCCTTCCCTTCCTTCCCTCCCTCCCTCCCTCCCTCTTGCTCTGTTGTCCAGGCTGGAGTGCAGTGGCATGATCAATAACTTACTGCAGACTCAATTCCTGGGCTTAAGTTATCTTCCTACCTCAGTCTCCCTAGTAGCTGGGACAGCAGGCACAGGCCACTGCACCTGACTAATTTTTTTTATTATTAATATCATATTTTTTATACAGTTGAGGTCTCACTATGTTGCACAGACTGGTCAGAACTGGCCTCAAGCGATCTTCCGCCTTGGCCTCACAAAGTGCTGGGGTTATAGGCGTGAGCCACTGTGCCTCAGCTGCTCCTTATATATTTTCAAAAATTTCCCATTTATTGATGTATTTTGTCATCTAGATGTTTTAAGTTTTATATATTGAAATTTTTCTTTTATGGTTGTTTTTGTTTTGATAGTTGGCTTAGAAAGTAATTCTACCCCCTGCACTCCTACAAGTATCTTTATGCTTCCTTCTATATATTAAAATATTTTGATTCATTTGATTTTTTTCAATAATTAGTTGTTTATACTCATGATTGACAGTTTTTCTTTGTCTACTGATTTTAAATATTACTTTTATCATG